CGCTGGCTGTTATGTCTTGTCTATGTAAACTGCTAGGGACGTTTTCCATTTTCAGCTTTATATGGCACATCAGCACCATACAGTCCTAAACTTGACTGGGTATTTCAGACACTATTGCAGTGATCAATATCTTAATGATCTGTACGGAGCTTTTAGTTTTCATTGTGACTGGCTCAGTTCTGTTGGATTGCAAGTTGTGACTTGGTGCAGTCGCCAAGGGCTGATTAGAATATCGGTGAGAATCCCGTTCTTTCTAGTTGACTCCAGTGCACCTTCCCTTAAGCATTAGAATAAGGTAGATTGGGCTGTATTTTGGAAAAGCATCTCATTTCAGCCCAGTGAGATGCTGTATGCTTGTCTGCACCAGGTACAGAGTGTCTATTAATGAAAATAGTATGTGATACTCCCAGTATGATAAGAGTAAAGCCATGGGAGAAAAACAGAGGGAAGATCTCACATCAGCCGGCCTGTGGTCAGGCCAAGCCTTGAGATTTGCAAAGCATGGTGCATATTTGGACCAAACCTGGGTGGGAGAAAAGTGATTTTTGCTGTGCACATATTCATGTGCTGTGATAATTTCAAGCTATATAAATGAGGAGGGAACGTGGGTAGGATTTTTGTGATGAAGGTTAGTGTCACAAAATTAAACTTAAGTGGTCAAACTGAAGACCAGAGAGTGAAAGGAGTAGTCTGAAACTATTCTTGTGCATCAGAATTCACATAATATTTTAAGGCAACGTATAATAGAAATCCCATTCATGAAAAGAGGAAAAAAATCCCATTCATTTTTGCCCCACCCACCCTTTCCTTGGAGTTGATACTCTAATGCTGAATGTATTATTGTTCAGTAAACTTCAGGGCACTGAAATTGCTTGCACAATTTTCCCAGTACCTGAACAAACTAAGATAACTGTTCTTTCTTCTACTTCAATAATCCTTTTAAATCTTATTTTCTTAAGCCCAAGAAAGACTTTTGAACTCAGAGACAATCCTATTGAAAGGAGATTTTTCAGCATATTCTGGGATGCTGCCTGTGATTGCCACATCCTCCACTGTGCAGAAATTTTAGAGCTGCAGTGGATGTATACTGATTATATATGCTCTTGTTGGCTCATTTCCCTTCTCCTTTCTGTTTTCTTCCTCATGAATTCAAGTGAGTGCTGGATTTTTCAGTGCAGTTATGGGCTTTTTTAGTGGTCTGAATATCATTGCAGCATAGAGATAATACAGGCTTAATGAAAGAAGTCTGCTGTGTTAGTGGCTTTTTCATTGCTTCAGCAAGGAAATAAATAGTTACCTCATTAAAATATCTCAGTCTGCTTGTGATCGGCTAATGTCACCGAGCATCTGGCCAAGGCTTTGGTGGAATCTTGTGTCAAGAGGACCAGTACCCGTGCACTGATGTACTGAACACCAATAAAGCAAGATGTTGTTCTTGAGGAAACTAGGTTCTTAGGCAGAGTATCAACACAAGCCCTTTGTATGCCACTTAAATACTGGCTAAAGCCAGAAATTTCACCATTATCCTCTGCTCCGTTCTGTTTTGTCATATTTCCAGGCTTTTTTTTCAGCCTTTGCTTCTTTGTCAAGCTTTCATCAAGGATAACCACTCTGTCACAGTCTCAATTGTTTGTTAGAGCCTGGAATTAAAACTACAAATTGTTTTCCCAAAGCTACTCTCTTCAGCGTGACATCTTCAGTGGGAGGGAACTCTCATGGTCACATCTGTCTGGCCTTTGATCAGAAGGTGCAGTCTGGGTCCCGCAGTTTCCATTACATTAATCATCCCACCCAATATTCAATGTAATTTTTATTTCCTGTGATGTAATACAATTTTGTGGTAGTGTGGGACATTTTCATCAAAGGTCTGGACTGATTATACAGTCAGGGAATAAACAACTCCTTCTTGTAAAAAGTTTTGTTGCTGGTTGTGGTTTCTGACATACCTTCTGTTTGCTTCTTGAGACTTTCAGTCTGGCTCAGGGCATGAGAAGTTACAGTCTTCTTTGCTAAAAAGTCATAAGGAAGTATTATAATCCTGCATCTATTTATGTAATATTTGGCCATTGCATGTGTTCATGTGACTTCCTGAAGCCACTGCGAGTTCTCTTAGGTAATTGCATGCTGAGCCTCATTCATGTCGACAATATGACATGACGGTCTCTGATCTTACTGTCTAATATGGGAATCCTGGTAATTAATTAACCAGAAGTGACACCATCAGATATGTCACAGGACAGGAGCCCTGCTCTTGCTGTCTGTAATGCTGTGAACTGGTGTGGAAGTGCTGGCTAAAAAAAATTAAGTTTAAAAAAGTTGTCCTACTGAAACCTATATGGAATATGAAAGCTTTCTGGAGGATGTTTGCCTTTTGAGTCCTTCACAGTGAACCAGGTGATGATGGAAGCCTTTGAACAGTTGACTATTTATTTGCATAGTGGCTCTTGAGAAATTGCAGAAATTGGAAGACCGGACAGTGATTTTGTCAACCCTGTTTCCCCTAAGTATTCACTCTTCTGGAAACAGTACACTACGTTTGCTGTTAATTCTGTAGAGGGGTTTTTATTTTAGCTAGCATGAAAAATAAATGCATTTCGAGTGAAAAGCAGCCTTCTTCCACTTGAATCCAAGTTAGAGGAAGACTGGGGTGAACAAGAAAACATAAATTCAGACTTCCTTCATTCACCCCCGAGGAATCTTAGCTAGCTCTGACTTTGAAGGTAAAAACATGTTTCCTACAAAGTCAGTAGCAGAGTACTTGCTTGCAAGGCGCTGCCTCACCCCTGCCTGGCTGCTTGGGTACTGTATATAGTAAGCATACTTCTAGTGAAGTTCAGCCTAAATATGGAAGATGACCTTTCCTGACAGTTGTATTGTTCTCTCTGCTAGTTTAAATTTTTTATTAGACTCTAGCCAGAAGCACCTACCTCGCATTCCTTCTCTTTCTGGATGCTTATGGAATAATTAATTTCTGTCAGATGGTGTGACTGCTTGTGTTTTAGTGTTCCTACAGCGTGCCTTTATTGTCACTTAACACCATCACATTTGTTTAAAGGAAATAAAACAAAACCCAAGGTCACTACTACATTAAAAACATAATGTCGCAAATAAATGTGGATTTTCTTTGTTTCCAGGTGCTTTTTTTTTGCCATGGGTGCCTTGCCCTTTCTGCTTATATTTTTCAAAGCCATGGGATCAGATGCCACAGTTACTCTGGCCTGTCACGGATCGCTGTGTCCAGATGTGGCTGGCTGTACTTTGGGTGCTTTTCCAGTCTCCAAATCCTGTAGCTCAGTTGGCAGCCACTGCCCTAGAGCAGGGTGAACCTCAGGAGCTGTAGTTGGGTCTGGATGTTTCAGACTCCAGCCAAAATCCTCCATGTGAGACACTGTTTCCTTGTATCGGAAAACAGCCCTAGCAGTAAGAGAAAGAGACAAGTCAAGGTGAGAAGCAGCCTCAGAGGTGACTTTGAATTGGCTGCCTTCTCCTGACCTTCCCAGGCAGTGTGTTCTCCTACTACACCATAATCTCTCCCTCCCAGTTGAGGGGTTGAGTTCCTGGGATTTGCATCTCCGTCATTTCCAGCAATCCTCTCTCTTAATCTGCTCTCTAGCCAGCAGCTGAGTGGTAATCAATGCCTGTTCCCCTTCTGGCCAGCCTATGCTGGCATCCATAGGAGGCTGCACGCTGTTGTAGCAGAGATGCTGAGGCTAATCTAGTGTGTGCACAACTGGACAGTAAAACCTCCTCCCATCCCTCCTGAGCACGCTGCCGAGTTCAGCCGGGGCTGTCAGGAGCCTTGCCAAAGTCTGCCCAAGCTCTCCCATGAATCAGACCCATGCAGTCCCTAAGCAAATGGATAATAGCAGTCATCCAGCCTGTGATTCTTCCACATCCCCATTTCCAAGGGGCTTTCTGTGGGGATGATGAGCTCTGGCTCCTGGTGTGTCAGGGTCTGTTCCCCTGTGCTGTGAGCTGTGGTTACTCAGCCAGGGTGTGCAATGCTGCCAGGCCATGTTTTTTCAGGGGAGCAGATGTGTTGTCCATCGATGAGCTATTCCAGGAGCATGCTCATGTGCTTCCATGCCCTGCTTTGGTGGAACTGCCCTATGTAGGGTAGGTGCAAACTTCACCCCTGAGCCTGGGGTGCCGCATCGCTCCCGGTTCTCCCCACCAGCCACTGGCACTGGGGCAGGTCCTGCTGGTGCGGGGTGGCCAGCGCAGGGGTGCAGCGCCCGGGCTGGGGGAACTCAGCTCCTGTTTGTCACCCCTGGGCGTGCGTGCGGCAGGGATGCTCTGACCCCAGCGCTTGCTGCGCTGTTGCCGTGGAGATTGCGTGCGCTGTTGCTAGGCAGCTGAAGCATCTTTGCTTGCACACTGCAATGCCACGAAATTCTCAACTTTCCTCATTCTCCCTTCTTTAATTTCACAGATATGACTCCTTTGGCTCTTATCCCGCTTCATTCAGTTGCACTGCTGCGATTTCTTGGTGTTAACCCTATAAACCCTAAAAAAACCGCATGGCACTGCAAATAGGATTTATGGCAATGAATTCAGGGCTGAAGGAGTTAAAGTGGTTGGGGACAGACTACAGAGGAAATGATTTCTAGCAGATAAACTACTTTAAATGTTCTGGCATTCATGGAAGGGGAGGTTTGTAGCTGCAGCCTTTTGTTCCATCACTGATGGTTTATATGAATAAAAACACAGACTAAAATATCACTACAAGGTAAGAAAATCAGCTTGAATGGGCCTAATTAATCTCTTCGGTTACACTATATACTTAGTTTTTTATTATCCTCTGCTTGTCTTTAGTGATTTTAATGTAGCATGTGAATGTTAATTTAGCCGTGGAGCCTGTCGTGTACAGTTTTTGACTTATTTGGCTTGAATAATAAAGATATCAGCCTGTATTCTTGGAGTATACTGCATTAATCAGACTTGCAGGAATGATCACATGGTACTCTATCGCCTTTCCCTGTTAGCTGCTGCTTGTCAGCAGCTGGCTGAGCTGTAGGCTGCAGGCCAGTATCTGCATACCCTTTCTCTTCAGAATATTTCAAATATACTGTCTCGTCATTATGCATTTTGCTGCCGTTTGACAAACTAAATGGTCCTCCTGCACGTTAAGAAGATTATTTTAAATTTCAGAGCATTTGTGTAGTTACTAGGCCATGTATGCATTTGAAGAATTCAGGTAGGCTCTCTGTTTTATACATCAGTGTGCTTGGTTTTTGTTCTCACAAGGTTTTTGCTGTGTAATGTCAGTCAGCTCTACAGTTAGTTCTTCAATGTGCAGATATTTCTTGTGTTTTAAAATCTCTACCCTATGCATGGGGAGAAGTGCTTGAAGGGTAAGATGCAGGTAACGGTAGCTAACTGCATGATGAAGTGCAAAGCTGGGTAATTGATTATATGCTGCACAAATTTCATCGCCGTGCAGCTAGAAGCAGCGAGTACAGTGTAGTTATAAATATAAACCAGAAACTGTTCTGTTTTAAAGGGTCTTTGCTATTTTTGGTTCCAGAGAATCTGACAGATGCTCCTTTGAGATAGAATACTGATTGTGATAGAGAAGAGAAAATTGATGCTTGGATCGTATATAGGATTATATTTTATGCTGCTGCAGAGTATACATGTCTGTTTCTCATAATCTTGTAGCTGCAGAATTCTCTATGAATTACGTTTAAAATAACAATATGGTTAAGTTTGTTGGGGTTGGTTTGTTGTGTAAACATTTGAGCAACTGTGATTGTTAGAGTATAAAATTAGCACATTTTATTTGATATTGGTTCTACTCAGTATTGCCTCTGCCCCCTCTCCTCCTCCATCCCCACCCCCAATATAACTCCATCCTTATGCAAGTGTTGAGGTCTTTTAAAACCATAACAGATTTTTGAAGACATGAAACAGAATTTCTATCCTCACTAATAGAGTTGATTATTTTATCTGCAACGGAACTGTATTGGACGTGAAAAAAATCTGGTCAGTAGTTGTGGGGTGGGGAGTGTCTCACTTTTTTCAAAAAATGTGTTTTCCTTGGTGTGTTCAGTTCTTATAACTCATGTAATAAAATTGTCCAGATAAAATGGTAACAATGTTATAACAGCATTGGGGATCATCTCATGATATGTTTGTCTGTATATCATTATTATAATGTATTTTGAAAATAGCCTTTCCTTTCTGATGCAAAAGAAAAGAGATTGTTTGACCAAGTATATAACTAGAAGAAAGAATGAATTATCTTTGTATACACAGTGAGCATTCTGTAACAAATATTTTCAAATTAAACTTTCTAACTTCAGATGAAATAAACTAACATTATTTCTGCTTTTTGTTAAAGCATTTAATATGATGGCAATTTTCCTTATTTCGTGTTTTGCCAGTCAGTTCTATGTGGAAGTGAGTAGTGTCAAATGCAGTAAAAGCAGGTGCAGGACACCCTCCGCTCCTGCAAATGTCCTGATTCCAGCCGTAAGGGCTGAGCATACACAGGCTGACCGTGTGTACTTCTCGTGTTGTGAAATGCAGTATGATGCTGTCTGAGGGAAGAGATTTTACTAGAAGACCAGATAATGCTGTGTAACTGCAGTTGTCATAGGGCTGTCAGGAGATGCTTGAAATCTTGACATCGCTGATTGTAGGCAGTAAATTAAGCTGCAAATGGGCCCCAAACTTATTGTGCCACTTACTATGCCCACAGAGTTATTTGTATTTCACCCAGTTGGTTGGTTCCTGTTCTTAATAGAGTGAAACTCTCAATAAATCTACATGAGAAGAGAAAAGGTGTTTTAAAAATTCTGTTTTAAAAGCCTTAGCTGTCTTTCAGTGGCTTTCCTAGACACCTTGGGACAGGAAGACACCTATGTTTATGGCAAGAACGGTCAAATGCTGATTACACACCCATTAGCCTTATTAAATTACTTGTCTTCTCTTAGACTTGATTTGAAAATAGTATTAACATTTGATGTGCAGAGTGCTAGACATTTTCTTTTAAACCTTCTGCACTGGTAGGGCTGTGGTTTCTGTATAGCAACATTTAAATGGCATTTATTTTATTAGGCATTTCCGTGGTGTTTTGTTAAGGTTGTATCTGCATGTCGATGTTTTTTTTATGGTATGATTATTCTCATGCCTGTGGCTATATTACATTTTGATGGGATCAAAACATATCTTGCAAGATAAAGAAAAACAAAGGGTCTAGTTGAGCAGCGGGGTGGAAGTCTCAGTCCCATGGGCTCCCAGAAGCAAAGTTTATGTAGCAGTAGATGGCACTCTTCTCTGGGCTAACAACCCCTGGACCTTGGTGGCCCCACAGTCTTTACAGGTGCCATTTTCCATGCACATAAAACATAAGCTTGCACTTACCTTGACTCTGATCTGAAGCAGGTGCTCCCGTGTATGTTGCAGAAAGATGGCTGTTCCCATCTTCCAGTTCACCCCCAGGGCCTGCGTACCCAAGTACCCAGAGGAGTGGTGACCCCACTGGTGCCTGTTCATGCAAACCCATGCATGTCATTTCTGTATGTGCTATTCTACATTTTTCTTTCTGACTCCACGCTGGGCCTTCAGGACCTGCAGGAGAACTCGGGCAGATGGTGGGGGCTTTGGCACCCCAGCCCAGTGCCAAGAGGTGTCACTGCAGTCTGGCTGCCTGAGTTACCCTGGCAGTTTCAGTTTGATGCAGCCGCCTTCACTTCCCCAGCGAAACGGTGCTGGGGTAAAGTGTTAAGCAGCAGCTGGACCTCTCTGCAGGAGTGTCTCACTTAAGGACTATAAGTGACCTTGGTGCGCTGTTTGTGAAACACTTATTTGTAAAGCCCTTCGGGATGATATTACCCCTGCGGTTACTGGCTGGATGAACAGAGACTTAAGCCTCAGAAAAAATGGGGGTAAATCCATCGAATAATCTCATAGTTCCTTGTATCAGCCAAGCTTGGTTTATCTTTCTCTTGGGAAAAATCTAATATCCCTGAAAAACTTCAATTGCTTTTAAAGTGAAGGTTAAAGGAGCTAAGCCCCTTCTCAGTTTATATAGGCTACTGGTTTCTTTGTGGTACCAAATGGGTCCATTTTCTCACTGATTTTCTGCACTGTCTTCATAAAAGCCCAAAGCTCACGTACATTTTGTTTTTACTCGAAGGTAAGATTATTCGTCTGCCACGTTTTTATGATACTCTGCTGACCACACCGTTGTAAGATGACTTTGCACATGAAGCCAACGTACACTTGGCCACAAGCGGTACTCCTCATTTGGTATCTTCAGTCCAGATTTAGCTCAGTAGCAGCAGAACACAAATGCTTTTTTTTTTTTTTTTTTTTCTTTTGTTGCCATGCCTTTATCTTTCTGGGATATTACTTAGTATTCTTTGCAGTGAGCTAGTGTCTGTCTATTTCTGATACACCGCCCACCATGGCATCGCAGTATTTTTAACTGCATCTTCTATTCCCTCATCCACTGAACAAAACTGAGAATGCTACAAGAGGGAAGAGGAGTCTCTCAGAGAGCTGGCTATGAACAGAGGAAACAAAACCCACTGATGAATAGAAAGGAAAGTTCAAAATAAACATAAAGCATTTGTGTACATGTACCTCACCTGCTGATCCCCAAAGCAGTAGCAGCAGTCAGGCAGTGCCTCCTGGGAGCGGGTGATCATCTGCATCTTTGAGCCTGTTCAGGCATTGAGTTTACCTTACCTATAAGCATTTAATGATTGAGTTTAGCTGTAGAACTGGCGCTGGACCCAGGAATTCTGATGTTTAAGCCTTTCCTTTTACTACTGTCAAACGAAAAACTGTATACCCCAAATTAGTGAAGAATTATGGTTTTAATATGATTCCGCAAAAATTAATTCTGGCAGCAGGTGCCCGTCAAACACCTGCTCAGACTTTGGCTGCAGCATTCACTGCATTAAGGCCAAGAGTTCAGGTACCTTCGGGTTAGGTGGCATGTTTATTAAAGAACAGTATAAAGTGCGAGCCAAATCATTTCATAAAGGTGAACATGATATTCAGACTTGAAGGCAGGGGGCTTTTACTTCCCTCTCCCCCAAAGAAATAGCAAGATGATTTATGGAAGGCACAAAAGGCTGGTACCCTGAAGGGAGGCAGGCCTGTCTCCTTTGCCTTTTGCTGCTGAAAATTCCTAAGAAGGAGGCCTTTTAAATAATCCCAGTTTCCAGAAATGCAACTTCAGTCTGAATAGTCAAGCAGCTTTGGGAAGCTGTAGGTGAGGCACGTGAAGGGGTATGCTTGTGTCACGAGTTGCTCTTTAGAAACAACAAAAAAAGATCTGCTGTTCTTTTCTACAAGGAATATGATCATACTGATGAGCAAGAAGCATCAGGAGAGATGCCAGAAGACTATTTCAGTTGCTACAAGAGTGTAGGTTTTGTGGAAAGGGGTAATGGGGGTTGCAGCTCTATGGAGAAGTGGAACAAATTGTTTTTCCAAGTTGGTGACTCTGACCTCCCAGGTTAGATGGAGCATCTAGTGAGTAACACACCAAATAGTGCAGTTAGTCTTTTCTGACAAGAGGGAAAAAGAATCAGGGAGTAATTGCTGCTGAAGTGAAAAGGTGTTAAAATGAAAGGGAGCAAGCAAGTTTAAAATGGAGAAAACCCAAGGATGGTATTTTGGCAGACCATAATTGTTTGCCATATCTCTTCTAATCTGTACTGCTGAACTCACATTGCATTGTCATGTTCAAAATTTTCTGTAGGTGCTTAATAAATAACCATAAATATGTGAACCTAGAAGCCAGCTCAGCATCAGCAGACAAGTGATGCTGCAGGCCTGTGGAGTCTCTGCTTGCTCCTCCTTGGACTACATCCACCAGCGAACCAGCTTGTTACACTCCTCTCTTTTGTCTTTATGTGAATATAGGGAAACTGAATGCAAAACTTGATAAAAATACATTGTTGACAGCAAAGCTTTTGATTACACACAGCAAGTCTAGTTGTTCGTGTTGCAAATATGAATATCCATATGATGCATCTTATCAGAGAAAATGCATGTTCCCAGTGGGGGGCAAGTTAGTTTTGCGTCATTCTTCACTGAAGAATTCACCTTTCAGTTTGTGCCTGAGAGATGTAATTTTTGTGGGCTCGTTCTGAAACAAACTTGCACTAAATTAAAAAAGGTGAAAAAGGAACTAGTTTGGGTTTTTGGTTTGTGGGTTGGTTGTTTTTTTTTTTC